CAGGAACTGAGCAGGACGGCCCAATTTATAACAGATACCAGACTTCAAGTATGATTCGATCAGAAGAAGTACAGACAGTACCAAGTTTTGAGAAATTTGACGTTTAAAGTTTTGAGTTTTACAATGTGTCAAGCCTTTTCGAATGTGTGTTGAGTTGTGTTATATTGTGTTGTGTTGAGTTAAGTTGTGTTAATGTCTTGTGTGTGTGTTTGCGCGCATGTGTGTATTTGTGTGTTTGTGTGTGTGTGTGTGTGTGTGTGTGTGTGTGTGTGTGTGTTTTGTGTTTGTGTGTATGTGTGTGTTGACTTGGGCGAGTGTGTGTGTGTGTGTTTGTTTGTGTGTCTGTGTGTATGTGCGTATGTATGCGCGCGAGCACGCCCGTGCACGCACGCGCTTGAGTTCAGTCAGTGTATAGTTCTACAAAGACTTAATGATTTAGTGAATAAATCTAAATCTAATGCCCTCTTTTTCCCACCCAGACGTGGAGTAAATCACTGCCTGCACTGCATCATCAGTCTCTTCTTCTGGCCATGGGTCATTGTGTGGATTATTCTGGTCAGTAACTCGTTTTTCAGTATTGTATCTTTAGATTTTCATATTGTTTGCTCGTTAGTACATTTAGTAGTTGGCTATTTGCTTCGGATTTAATTTTAAAGTATTTGTTAGTTTTGAAATTGTTTTTCTTTCTTTCTTTCTTCATTTCTTTCTTTCTTTCTTTCTTTCTTTCTTTCTTTCTTTCTTTCTTTCTTTCTTTCTTCATTTCTTTCTTTCTTTCTTTCTTTCTTTCTTTCTTTCTTTCTTTCTTTCTTTCTTCATTTCTTTCTTTCTTTCTTTCTTTCTTTCTTTAGAGGGGGGTATTTCCGTAAATTTTAAGCAGAGGACATGAAAACCTCGTCGTACCGCCAGCCTCCCCAAAAGATGAAAAACAAGACACAAATTCAACAACACTAAGCGTCTTCAAAATTCACAAATCACTAAAACATTTCGGTATTCACAAGCCAAAAT